GCTGCGCCGAGATAAACGCCGCCACTCAGCGGACTTTACAAACACAGCGGCATCAGCAGCCATCGTTTTCTCGTCGCCCAACGCCTACGAAGTGTGCATGTGCGTGCGCGCGTGTGCGTGCGTGTCTCTCTCATCTCTCTCCCTGGGGTGAACGCGGGTTCTCTTAATGTTTCCGAGGTCACGACCCCGTTCGAAATCGCCAGCGACGCCCGCCCGCCGATGATTGTGCAAATGTAACCTCTTAACCGCGTGCTGGGGGGAAGGGGGGGCCATCATCTGCGGTGCAGAATTATCCAAAGCGAGTTCGTTACCGGTCAAATCACACGTGCGGTCATTACTCTCCCTCCCTCACGCTGCAATTGCATCGAGTCGATTGCGAGACGTCGGTGGTGGTTGTTGTTGTTGCTGTTGTTGTTGTTGCTGCTGCTCCTCCGTGTCCGCCCAACGAGCGCCTTGCTCCTTTTGCCGTCCGGCTGACAGACGGCGACAATTTGGCCTCTTAAGCTCCGGCCGTGATTGCGAGTCACGCCCCAATTGGCACGAGACGGAGGAAATGCGGAGATTTCTAATTGACGCGAGCGAGTCCGAGAGACCGTTCCAGGCCCACGCGATCCGCGAAATGAGCGAAGCCTCCTGGGGGGAGGGCCAGTGCCGGATGATCCTCGTAGCACAAGAAGCAACACATGTAGGAACTACACATGTAGGAGCCAGTGGCGGCTCCTGCAAAATCTCTCAGGGGGGGGCAAATGTCTGGATGATTGATAAGGATAAGGTCCACCCATGCAATGAATAAATTAACAGCTTAAGCATGTAAAGGCAACTTCACTTCTTTAATATTAATGAAAAATAAAGTGACTCTTACAATACATCTTGTTTGTTTATATACTCACTATTAAAACAAACCACTCAAGTTTATTTTATTAAAGATTCCACTAGGTAGCGATAAATTATATTGTTGGCTGAAACGTGCTTACGTATGATGACGTTAGCACGTATGATGACGTAAGCACGTTAGTGCATGCCCTCCCGGAAGCCATAGAGAATGCATTGGAGCGCCCCCGTTCGAAAAAAAACATCTTTGAATGTAAGTCTATGGGGCCACTCGGGGCGATTCTCAGCCAGAGTGAAATCGCCCCAAAAGAGGCGGTACTCCACAGAACGTGACATGACGCTGATTGGACTATATCCAGAGGCTGACAGTGACGGCTAGCGTGACTCTGTGGTTGAATGACATTGGTGGTGCGTCGCCCAATCGCCCTAATGAAGAAACCGCCCCTGGTAGGAGCTACTACACATGTAGTAGCTACTACAAATGTAGGAGCTGCATGTGTAGTAGTAGATACTACACATCTAGGAGCTGCATGTGTAGTAGCTGCACGTGTAGCTACTACACGTGTAGTAGCTGCTACACATGTAGGAGCTGCATGTGTATGAGCTACTACACATGTAGGAGCTACACATGTAGGAGCTACGGACCCCCTACTCACAAGGGCCCCGCGCTAAATGCTTTCAAGCTATCAATTCAGGTTCAGTGATTCTGCACTTGCTCTATTACTATAGTACTATACCGCCTTCAACTTTTATGAATGACTGGGTGTTTACGGTTAGCGATTTGTCGTACTATCTGGCTGTATATCAAATTAAAAAATACAATTGCATTACTGTGCAAGTAAAACATTTGTTTTAAAGCTTTCGTGACTGCAGGGATTCATTTTCTTGGTTCTTTCGGTAAAGTCACGTAGAAGGGAAATAATAAAATAATAATAAAATATATATATTTTTAATTATCACGACGTTTCGACTGCAACACAAGAAATCATCAGGTGTGAAATCTACAGCAAGAAAATTTGAAAAAAGTGATGATAATTGCTTGTGTTGCAGTTGAAACATCGTGAGAATTGTATTGTTTCATGTTTTTATTATTTTATTATTTCCCTTCTACGTGACCTTACCGAAAGAACCAAGACTATAAAACATTTGTGTTTTAATAGTTATGTGTTTTTTTTTATTTAGGGCCCCTTTATAACATCATGCTACAGGCCCCGCACTTAGCTTAATCCGGCATTGGGGAGGGCGGGTGGGGGAGTCAACGCAGTTGCTATAAACAACACGTGGCCAATCAACGTGTTGAGACATTCATTTCGTTAATTTTCGTGTTCAGCTAATCCGTTTACCGCCTGATTAGCGTGATCCAGGTCTGCGCGTGTGGGCCTTTTTCACATATATATCCGCTCCTCCGTATTTACGCGAGTTGTGTGTGTGTGTGTGTGTACATATGATGGGTTCATATGAATGAAGCGTCTGTGCCTGTGATTGTAATGGAAAATATTCCGGCAATATTGGCCGCTCTGTCTTATGAATGTGCGATTCCATCTGTCCCGATGTGCGTTGTTGTTATTGTTGTTGAATGTATAATCAATAGCAGCAGCCTGCCCGCCATGATTGTCGAACTTTACCTTCTAACCTATATAATTCATTTTTTGTCTGTCTGTCTGCGTGCGTACGCTCGTTTGCGGGGGATTTGGCTCTCGGACCGTGGGGTTCGCCGAGATTAAATTTTGCCGGTGGGCACCCCCCCGGCCCCGCGGTGGCAATAGGCATTTCCGATTTTTCGTTCCTAAACTTAAAATCGGTTCGATTATCGATTTAGTGCGATTTCCTATTTATTTACTATTGCCGACCGGCATGTGACGAAGCACGCCGATGCGCATGCGCGAGATGCCGGCAGGCGGTTGCCCCTGGCAACGGGCGGTTGCCCCTGGCAACGCGCGGTTGCCCCTGGCAACGGGCGGTTGCCCCTTGCAACGGGCGGTTGCCCCTTGCAACGGGAGGTTGTCTCTGGCAACGGGCGGTTGCCCCTGGCAATGGGCACCACGCCGTCGCTGCAGGGCGGACGCCATTTTTCATTCCCGTTAAAAATATGCACATGCATTAACACACGACGCTGAGGTAAATTCATCAAAGTTTCACGTCCTCTTCATTCCCCTCCCACCCCAATGTGTGCAATTACTATTATAGGGTCGGTAGATAATAAAATTATAGCGATTAGACAGTATTATTCTAGCGCAGGGGAGGGGGGGGTAGCGGCCCAGCACCCAGCCTCGCCCGGCTGGGCAATCTAGGCGAGGCCGGAGGCTCTGCACGGTACTAGGCCTCGACACCCCACACTTGTCAGGCGAAGACTTTGTGCTATAAACTCGATATACCCAGTGTTGCCCGGGGGGAAAATACATTTAAAATCTTCTGAAAACTTTAAAACATAACATACCAATGAAAATACAACTGTGTAATTAAAATTTTAAACCCGACCGCTGCCAAAAATCGATTCTCTGAATCGCGCAAAGGAATCGAAGGTTGTAGATTCATTTAGAATCGCCCTCTTCTCGTTTAATATAAGTTGGTTAATATAAACTGCTACTAACAGCGTTGAAAACTTGAAAGCATAACATATACAAATGAAAAGAAAACTCATTAATTAAAATGAAACCCAAGCACGCCAAGATTCGATTCTTTAAATGTAGACTGCACAAATAGCTATTACGCTGGGTGAGTGTACTGGCAAAGTCACGTAGGTAAATAATGAAATTACAATTAATAAAAATAAAATAATAAAAATCACGACGTTTCGGAGGCAACACAAGTCTCCGTCATCAGATGGGACTGTCACAGCCAGATTTGCTGTATCAAGTGAGGGGTGTTTATTAATTTTAATTTATTTTTTTACCTACTTGACTTTACTGAAAAAACTAAGAGTATGAATCCTTGCAGTCACGAAAGCTTCAAATCTAGAAGTGTACTGGCAGTCTATAATGTGGACTGTAGCCTGGTTATTAAGCTGGGTGAGTGTACTGGCAGTCTATAATGCAGACTGTAGCCTGGTTATTAAGCTGAGTGAGTGTACTGGCAGTCTATAATGTAGACTGTAGCCTGGTTATTAAGCTGGGTGAGCGTACTGGCAGTCTATAATGTAGACTGTAGCCTGGTTATTAAGCTGGGTGAGCGTACTGGCAGTCTATAATGTAGACTGTAGCCTGGTTATTAAGTAAAGTGAGTAATTTTTTGTCTGTCTGTCCGTCTGTGTATTCTCGCTTGCGAGGGATTTGGCGCTCGGACCGTGGGGTTTAGGCCGAAATTTTTTTTGCCGGGAGGCACGTCCCTTGCCCCGCGGTGGATATAGGCATGTCCGTATTCTTAGGTTTTTTCGGTAAAGTCACGTAGGTAAAACATTAAAATTAATAAAAGTAAATTAAAATAAAAATCACGACGTTTCGGAGGCAACACAAGCTTCAGTCTTCAGGTGGAACCGTCACAGCCACGACAGCTGTATCAAGTAAATGAGAGATTGCAAGAGCTACCACTCCGTAAATATAATGGTTGGAGAGGGGGGAAGGGCCAAGTACGGCACACTTTTTATTCATATGGTAAGGTGAGGCTTAAGAGGGTGACCCTTTGTTATGGAGAGGTACGGTTTGTGATTAAGCCTGGCCTACATAACAATAGTGTGAAAAAAGAAACAACTAACCATGGTAAAACAAGCATGGCTGTCTATCAATAACGTGTAATAGTTGTCTGTCAAATAAGATTGGCCAAATAAGTGTAGTTAAATCTTTTTTGCATGGTTAATCACATCTTTCCAATGATTACTCAGTTTGTAACCATCATCACGGTTGAAATTATGTCTGTGTTTGTATATTTGTATGGCTTCGTGTACAAACCTTTGATGGTAGCCAGGAGGTTTATAGAGAACCTTGGTCTCGGAAAAGACAATTTCATGAGAGCCCACCGAGTTGTAGCAATGATCGGCAACGGCCGAAGAATCAGTTCTGCCGTGTTTCAGATCTGACTTGTGCATGTCCGTTTTTTCATCCGTCACCTTTCCAATGGTTTAATTATCGATTTAATGATATTCAACATTATTTATTAATTTCCCCGTGCCGCTCCGCGCGCGACATTTGCGCATGCGCGAAACGTTGACCTGGGGTTGCCCCTGGCAACGCACACACGCGCCGTCGGTGGAGGGGGATTTTCATTCCGTGGGCAAGCTTACGAGGTGAGTCGCGCTTATTAACAGCTCCGTTAAAACATAGATAGATATTACTGTTTACTACTTTTTCTTACTCTGAATTATTAGGTAAGAAGATGATAGAGGTTCAGCAATGTTTGATGATCGTACACGATGTAACACGATTTTTTCCCCTGGGTAATAAATGTTACCCTCAAAAGTTAAAAAAGGCTATAATTCCCCACAAACTTTGCTTTTGTGACCAGGACTTTACGTGAAGGATTGACACAAATGCACACCGCGTTTTATCATTGAAAATAGCTATATTTCTAAATATCACTGTCCTTGTCACAAAAGCTAAGTTTGAGGGGAATTATAACCTTTTTGGTACTTTTGAGGCATAAGCATGTAAAAAGTAACACTGACTACCCAGGGACTCAAACAATCATCAATTTTCTGTTGCACAGTGTTTATTAACGAATCAAAATTTTATCTTTTTCGACTTTTAATTTTTTTTAATATAAAGAATAAATAAATCTCTTTTCCGCTCCAGCTTATTCACACTTCTCTCCTCCTTGCGGTGCTTGGTCAGGGAGATTTGTTTATTCGGGTTAATTTGTGTGCATTTGGACATAGTTGCAGGTACCATAAGTTTATTAATATGACAAAAAAATTATAACACTTTCGCTCGCGGCAAATTAAAAAATAAAAATGGCGGAAAATGTATTATCGTACTTAATTTATTATTTAAACCGGGTGCCTTTCATTTATTATTTGCCTCTTTCGGTCATGTCACCTAAATAGAAACAACGATAATACATTCAGTTGTAAGCATTTTTTTTTAGGTGTCTAAGTCCAAGTGTGTGTGTAACACTGACTACCCAGGGAATAAAAAAAATCATCACTTTTCCTTTGCACAGTGTTTATTAACAAATCAAAATTTGATCTTTTTCGAATTTAAATTTTTTAAAAATAAAGATTAAATAAATCTCTTTCTTTTTCGCTCCTGCTTATTCACACTTCCCTCCTCCTTGCGGGGGTTGGTCAGTGAGATTTGTTGATTCGGGTTAATTTGTGTGCATTTGGACATAGTTACAGGTAACTTACGTTTATTAATGAGTAACTTTTTATTTCACACTTTCGCTGGCGGTAATGTAAAAATCAAAATGGCGGAAAATGTATTATCGAACTTATTTTATTATTTACAATGGGTGCCTTTCATTTATTATTAGCTTCTTTCGGTAATATCACGTAAATATAAACATAAGGACAATACATTCAGTTTGTTTTAAGCATTTTTTTAGGTGTGTAATTCCAAGTGTGTGTGTAACACTGACTACCCAGGGACTAAAAAAAGCATCACTTTTCTTTTGCACAGTGTTTATTAACGATACAAAATGTTATCATTTTAGACTTTTTTCATTTTTTAAATAAATTATAAATAAATAAATATTTATTTTTCGCTCCGGCTTTGATTGCTGCGCATCTGCTCATATTTTCAGGTATGATACTTTTTCCCCTTTTCATTATTTATTTCGTTTTGAAATTATTACTTGGCAAAGTTGAAAAACAACCTGCCGGAAAAACCCTCATGATTCTACTTCATTTATTATCAACTTATAGTTTGATAAGTTCATAATATTCTTTTAGATATAGTACTGAGGTTATTGTATTGTTATGTTGGTAAAATTATACGAGTCACATTTTTATGCTTTATAAAATTTCGTTGGTGTGCATCTCATAATTACAGATACATGAATGCTCCTCTGAAGAAAACTTGGAAATAAAGATTACAGGAGGAGAGAGATAAGCCAGGCCGATTACGCTAACAATCTTGCTGAGTGGTGACGGGAGTGAGGTTTTTCTTCGCGGCAAAAATGCCAAAAAGAAAAAAATCAAGCCTCTCCAAGAAAAATAAACATCCGAAGAGAGTGGACGCTGTACCACGCAAAACAACACAGGAGCAGCAACTTTCTCAAACAAGCAACGAAGGTGTCTCAGTAGCACAGGCTGAGGAAACTGAAGAGCAGCGTGCACTAAAACAAACGACTGCACAGCCACTGCAGCAACCCAAGCTGAAGTCTAATCCTGAACAGGGTACATCTCGACAAGCCAGAAACCGCACATGCACTGCAGCAGCACGGACTAAAGAAAATCCTGAAAAACGTGGATCTCGGCAAGCCAGAAACCGCACATCTACTGCAGCAGCACGGGTTGCCGAAATTCCTGAATATCGTGCATCTCGCCAAACAAGGGACCGCACAGCCACTGCAGCAGCACGGGTTGAAGAAAACGATGAACATCGTGCATCTCGCCAAACAACGGACCGCACAGACACTGCGGCAGCACGGGTTGAAGAAAACGATGAACATCGTGCATCTCGCCAAACAACGGACCGCACAGACACTGCGGCAGCATGGGTTGAAGAAAACGATGAACATCGTGCATCTCGCCAAACAACGGACCGCACAGTCACTGCGGCAGCACGGGTTGAAGAAAACGATGAACATCGTGCATCTCACCAAACAACGGACCGCACAGCCACTGCGGCAGCACGGGATGAAGAAAACGATGAACATCGTGCATCTCGCCAAACAACGGACCGCACAGCCACTGCGGCAGCACGGGTTGAAGAAAACGATGAACATCGTGCATCTCGCCAAACAACGGACCGCACAGTCACTGCGTCAGCACGGGCTGACGAAAACGATGAACATCGTGCATCTCGCCAAACAACGGACCGCACAGCCACTGCGGCAGCACGGGCTGACGAAACACAACATCACCAGGTGGCGCGCATAACGCAAGTCCGTCATGCTGCTGCATCTAGAACAAGAGCAAATAACCCGGAATGGAACAGAGCAGCTTTTATCTACCAACCAGATATTGGTTATCAATTGATGGCCATATTAGGCTGTATGTCGATTACTTGTGTAGATTGTGGTGCAAAAAAATGGAAAGCAGAAAGCAAGGGAATGTGCTGCAGTGATGGCAAAGTAAAACTCTGCCTTGTGCAGACGCCCCCTGAGCCACTTAAATCCTTAGTCTTGGGACAAACCACTGAGTCTAAACACTTTCTCACCAACATCAGGAAGTACAATTCCTGCTTTCAAATGACTTCTTTTGGTGCGACTAAGGAGATAGTGGAGAAAGGCTTTATGCCCACATTCAAGGTTCAGGGACAAGTCTTATCATCGAATCGGATCCATTCAGCCACTGACTGGCAAACAATTAAAGTTTTTGCAGCAAAATTCCTGGTGCAAGACTAAAAATTGTCCTCTCACTCCAAGGGATGCTCAGCCAACACAATTTATTGATTTCAAGTTTCAAACATGCAGCACAACAAGTCACCTCGCATGATTATCAGGTTGTCATCAGTGCATCTAAGGTGCCAATTGGGGAACATGCACGGAGGTTCAATGCCCCAACTTGTGAGGTTGCTGTTATTATGGTGGGTGAGGAACATGGTAATAGAGACATTGTGCTTCGCTACCAAGACAACACCATCAAGAAAATTGCGGAGACAAACAGAGCATATGATGCCCTACAATACCCCATTATTCTGTGGCAAGGACAAGATGGCTACCACATCCAGATACCTCAAAATATCAAAGCTACAGGACTAAGTCATCCTCACAAAACTGTTTCCTCTAAAGACTTCTATTCCTTCATGATAATGCACAGAGAAGGAGGAAACCACATACTCAGGTGCTCCAACCTCTTTCACCAGTATGCTGTCGATGAGTATGCCAAAAATGAGAGTGAGCGCCTTTACATTCGACTCAATCAAACACGCCTGCATTTTGAACAGTATGCTCATCTCAGGGATGCTATCAATGCTGACGGAGATGCAAACGCTCAGAATGTGGGGAGATTAGTTATTTTGCCTTCATCCTTCACAGGTGGACCAAGATACATGCACGAGAGGACTCAAGATGCCATGACCTACATCAGGCAATATGGCAGGCCCGATCTCTTCATCACCTTCACTTGCAATCCTAAATGGAAAGAGATACAGGTTGAGCTTTATCAAAAACAAAAACCAACCGATAGACATGACATAGCAAGGGTTTTTAAACTCAAAGTTGATGCACTCGTGAGGCTTTTCACGAGAAAGGAAGGCGGCGTCTTTGGGAAGACAAGATGTAACTTGCACACTATTGAGTGTCAAAAACGTGGTCTTCCTCATGCTCACATATTGCTCTGGATGAGGGAAAAAATACATGCAAGTGACATAGACACTTTTATCAGTGCCGAGCTACCAGACCCCGATCAAGACCCTGCCCTCTTTGATGTCGTCTGCAAGCAAATGGTCCATGGCCCATGTGGAGAGTTCAATCCTAATTCGTTATGTATGCAAGACTGCAAGTGTACCAAAAGTATCCCAGACACTTCCTAAAAGACACTCAGGCAGGCCATGATGGCTATCCTCTATATCGTCGCAGAAATACTGACGACGGATTTCAAACTACGCTCAGACCTGGCACAAACTCTGAAATGAAGATTGACAACCAGTGGATCGTTCCGTACTGCCCTCTTCTGTGCAAGATCTTCGAGGCGCACATTAACGTCGAATTCTGCAATTCTGTGAAAGCCATCAAATATGTTTGCAAATACATCAACAAAGGCTCTGACATGGCCGTGTTTGCCTTACAAAAAGAGGGCCAAAGTGTGGATGAACTTGAACTTTTTGTCAAAGGAAGATACATCAGCAGCAATGAGGCCATTTAGAGAATTTTAGGCTTCCCCATCCATGAACGTTACCCCACAGTCGTCCAATTGGCAGTCCACCTAGAAAATGGTCAACGCATCTACTTCAGCGAAAGAAATGCCCAACAACAAGCCCTGGCTCCACGCGATACAACCCTCATGGCGTTTTTTGGTTTGTGCCAAAGTGACCCATTTGCTGCTAACCTGCTCTACCATGAGGTTCCCTCCTACTATACGTGGATTGCGCAAAAAAAATCAAAGCGGTGTGCTGGTGACGGCGCATCTGATGCTTTGGGAAGAGTCTACACGGTTCATCCCAACTCTCAGGAGCGCAACTT